GAGGAGGAAAGGGGGTGGACAAAGCATAGCTTACATGCAGCCGTACTCAACTCAAAGGGTTGATCCATTTTAAGGTGGCCCATAGTCAATTTCTCACATTTGAAGTACATATGTGAAGCTGCACTGCCTTCGTTTTAAGAAAGCAAAGAAAATAGCCTATTCTTTAAACAATTGTCTTCAATAAGCCGTAAGTTTAACGAGTCGCTGTTTTTCTGAGTTCTGCTTAGGAGCCTGGCCCTTATTTGCGACGTAACAGACTTAAGCCCGTATTACGTCTACAATCGACCCGAACCAATAGGCTGCAAGTTAGACATTGGTTAAATAGGAAGACGACTAGATGACCGATTCCGAGAACACCTTCGCGACGCACAAAGAAGCGACAAGAACGCATCCAAACCAGTCGCTAAACTCTTTGATATCCCTTAACATTCAAAGCAGCATATGGCAGTTTGCGGCCTTTCCCTACATCCAGGCAGTTCGGAAAGCCGCAAAACTCTGGAGCAAAAATTTTATGTTAACAACTGACCGCTTAATCCAGTGTGACCGCTTAATACGATGCCACCGTATACAGCTTCGACTGTATCACGTCGTCAGAACATTTTTGGAACTCCAGGTGAAATGCAAAGAGAAATCTAAACATATCACCTTTGAAATTGCAACATACAAAAGGTATAAAGAAACATAAAGCAAGTCGACAAGTTTAATGTTCTTGAAGAACAGCATATGAACAGAAGTGTATTAAAAACAACAACCTAACAAAGATTATTCTGCGATACGACAACAGAGTTCTTCCTAGTTATAGTTCTAAATTACTTTGCAGTGTCCAGTTTGACTTAATTCCCAAGTACACTACGCTACTTTATCAGTACAAAATCGCTGCTAAAACACAAAAGGAAGTGATCTTTCAGGCGATTCAAATGTATCTATTTTTCATTACAACGAAGTAACATTTTGTCACTTTGTGACACTACAGATCAAAACAGCGGCTCCACGACACCATTTAGGCTGGTGTTGACAGGAAAAAACTCAAACAATGTACATGGATATAAATACTATACAAGTTACAAACAAAATATAGACAATATTCACCTAAAACATTTCTGGGGCCCTTTGAGGGGAAAAAAACTAGACCTACTGTTTACATTTTTTAACCTGGGGTTGTAGCTACCACAAAATGTCCATACATCAGAGCTTGCCTTTGGGCCCATAACATATAGTTATCAATATCGAACCTCAGTGATGAGTATTTATGGAGTGCAACTTTTTCTTACGTGACTAAAATGTTTCAATATCAACATTTAAATGGTAAAAGTGAGCTTCTCATTTGAAGGCGTTGCTGTTGGCGTGCTTTCTCACACTGTGTGAAGAGAAAAAAACTACCATCTCCATTTCTTGTATTCTAATTCTTGTGCGTTACTTTCAGCAACCCATTAAATGAATTGCGTGACGAAAACTTGTCACGCCATAGTCACACATTTTTGCTAACGACCGTAAGGATGGAAGGTTGTTCTGGTGTATGACATTATTGGTCCAAAGGCACTGGGGCGACCATCTGCAGCACAACAGAAAAACAAAAGTATAAAGATGTAATCAAAGCCTTCAACCCTTGAACTGTGTCACACAATACTAACTGCGTAGCTTTGGCGATTGTCCAGACTATGAGCAAAGCAGTTTTAAAAAAAAAAAAGAGGGGGAGGAGAAGAGAAAATTATTTGTTGATTTTCCCTCACAAGTTCACTCAAAAAGACTGCTTGTCTCAAGAAAGTGTCCTTCAGCTTTGTAATCTTTGGCTAATAAGATGAAACCTGTGGTTTTTCATGCAAAATAAACTTGTATGCGAATCTACAAATACAAAGAGTGAGCAAGGCGAAAAGGAACAGCTTAAACTACTGCAACAAACACATGCAAGAACAGATTTGATCACATACAGAACAAACCTTCAAGATCACTAGAGTACAGAGGGTCAAATTTTAATATTTCTCAAGAACAAATTAAAACCATGCCAAAGAAACTAGTACTCTGTGTGTCAGCTCTACTGAACAATGCTTATGAAGAAAAAAAATAAAAAAATAAAACAGAACAGAAAAAAAAGAAGACAGTGAAAAGCTGGTTTCTGAGATAGGAATTGCTGTAAACAAGAATATTTGCAGCAATCTAGTTCACTTCATTATGAATATTGCATTGTTTATGATATTCACAACTGATGGCATTATTTCACAATTGACAATTCAGAACAATCAGTTACATTACATTATAAAGATGTTTTGAAATATAGATTAATATTTACGTTAACTTGTTAGTGCTTCATGCTAATGTCAGTGTTAATTTACTTACAAGTGATAGCTTAAGCCTAACACCTTTACAATATTTACATATTTACTTCCCTTTAACTTAAACAGTGCTTATTACTTTAAACTGTGGTTTAGTATTACAATTGTACCCTTGCCATGTGGAAATTAAAATCCCATTAACTTGCACAACTACAGCCAACCTGACGGTTTTAAGGTGCGCATTAAGCTTATGATGATGTGGCTAGCATGCAAGTGTCTAAACATAGCATTCGTGAGAATACACACAGACTTCAAAACTTTGTCTTGCACTTTTTACCCAATCAGGGTTTAATTTACTTTTCAGCTATCTACTTGGCAGCAACTGCTTAATGCGAGACACAGCACGTTAGGCTGGCCATAGTCTAAATTAAGTGCAGATAAATTTTAATTACCAGCATGACCTCAAAAAGCTTCCTTAAAAATTAGTCACAGACATCCTTAAATTTGCTTTTCCAATCAATTGTTCCTGCACATGATTTATGAGATTATAAGGGGCGCTTACATAAATTTTGGGCTGTGGTACTGTGGCCACACCTTACCTGGCACCCTTCTTTAATATCATCGAAAAGTGCTCAAGGAAGTGCCACCACTGTCATCTGTGTCCACGACACCACTTCCCTGCTGCGGGAAGGAGCCAATCAGATCACTCGCATCTGTCACGTGATGAAGGGTCAGCGACTTAGAAGAAAACGCTGCCCAGCATTATTTGGCAACACTAACACAGTTCCCTTAGAATCAACTAGTTCAACAAAATTGTGCCATAAAATTGATTTTAAGAATGCATTCGGATATTATGACAGGTTTTAAAACAGTGCCCATAGAATTTTTTCACTACATTTTAAGTATAATGGATAAAAACTCCTCAATGGCTACTCCTCAGATTAACATACATATATGTGTATAATAACATTACCAAAGAATAATTATTCGTTACTACAAAGAAATTTCTTTTACACAATCTTTAGAAACCTCTACTTGCATTGACAAGTCACATAGAATGCAGAGGAAACAGTTATTTTCTTTAAATGAATTTAAGGACAATAAAGCACACTACCAAATATTTTAAAAAATTAAAGACTAGAGCTTGTTAATTTGATGCATATACCACATATTATAAAGCTTAACAATGACCAGTTAGTTGCATATTAATCACCTATGTAATAGTTTCGCATCTAGCAACCTCCTTCCAACTTTGCCTAACAATTCTACAAAGCCGAAAGATCTGTTTCCATCTTTCCTTTTCTTTGCAAAACAATGAAGTTCTGAGATCTAACATTTTACATCTAACAGTGGGTATTACTTCTACATATAGTTAATTGGGATTTAGTGCAATCTAAACAGTAAAACATGCATTTTATTAGTCTAAATATACAAATCTATAAATGGAAACTTGATTATCATTAAAGTTAGTTAACATCGTCAGATCAATAACTCAGAGAAAGAAGACATTAACTGTACAAAACAGCCACTGAAGCATTGAAAGAGTTGACTCTGAAGTTAATTATGAACTTAAAAGAGGATTCTGATTGAGCAGTATTATCTATGCTCTTAAAAAGTACAACTACAAGCTACAAAAATTTACCATTATCAACAAATACTAAATTCTCATTCTTAAGAGGTAATATCATGTAAAGATGATTAACAATTATGGCAGTGAAGTTGCATCATATACCACAGCTTGTACATTTTTCACATACAGTGACACCTCTCTCCTTTGTTTTGTAGTGACTTCATACCCCCTGGTTTGAACTGATAATTCTTTTTAACCCTTCAATTCCCAAGACCTGGGGGCTACATCTCCTTACAAATGACCAATGACCAACCAAACATTATCACCTGATGTATTACAAAACTGGTTGACCGGTGTTTTTAAATTGTTGAAAAAATAAAATAAAATATGGCTGCTTTTAAAAGTTTAAAGGTTAACCCTTCTCAACACGGAAGTGACCAATATATAATTGCTCCTAAAAAAAATACTTTGCTGAAGATTCCTGAAGGTGATTGGAGAAACTAAATACATCACCTGGTTGAACCAAACTTTCAGAGGAGACAATACTAAAAAAATAACAGGGCAGACTGTAAGGAAAATTCACAGTGAGATCTTGGAATTTAAAGGGTTTGCAGCTTATCCTTTACAGTGAATGGTCTAAAAAACGTTCTGATGATACTTTGGGCCTCTGATAGTACAATATATATCAAGTTTTTCTTTAAGACACAATCAAGACCAAGAAAAAAAATCATAGCAAAGATAAACCAAGACCAAACAAATAGAAATAAAAAGGTACAGTGCTTTTCAAACTCGATGAATAAGCATGAGTGAAAGGAACAGTAGCATCCACCACTTAGAGTGTACTGTCAGAATATCTTTTTTGATTCACTATAAGGAGGCCAACTTTGTGATTAATGTATCAGAAGTTTTTCCTGACAACTTTGTCTCCACTTGTCACATGCAATATTCACAAAAATATCAAATAAAATTAAATCAATGGTTCACTTGGAAATAAAAACTTCCTAACTTTTCTTTCAGCATATAATCCAAACACATCTCATTGTCTGTACAAGGTAATAGATCAGTCACTTTTCCAAAGGAAAATAAAGGTATCATTTTTGATTAAAAGCTAGAATGAACTTCATGAACACAACACAATACTAAGAAAATATACACGCAAGGGTAATCTCAATATCTTTGGGAAAATATTACAAAAACTGTGCATGATTCAACACAGAACACCCTCTTGCTTTGCAAGACTTGTATACGTACATTATCTTTCCGTCTTAACTTTACCCTTGCAGTCCTAACCTAAGCTAATGCAAAAGTTCTTTCCTTCTTCCACTAATAAAATGAAAGGATGTTCTCAGTTTGTCAGAACACCTTGCTTGGATAATCTTGTATCTTAATAGAACTCCTGGATTCAGAGATCTAACAAAACTGATGCTGGGGGAAGGGAACCTATCCTTTGGGTATGACTTATCAGTTTTCTTTGCCCCTTTGTCAAATGTGTGCAACACAATGTGCAAGAGTTTACAAAATATTAACAATCATGGTGCATACAGTGTCACCATTCTTTGGGCCATAATAAATACAGAATTGCACAAACCTGACACAAGGGGTGGACTTTCTTTTCATATACACCAAAAAGAACCCATTCTCCCGGTTGAACAGACCTGTTTTAAGGAAAGCACCTCCTTACCTCCACCTTTAATTGAAAAAGCAACTGGTGGAGAGACCAGTTATGTTGCATGATAAATTGAGGTCAACACTGCAAGGGTAAAACAAGAGCTCATTTGTTGACCAATGACTGCTGATGTTAAAACAATATGTGCACAATGAATGGATAGCATTTTGTCTTCAGCCAATGACTACAAACCCTTCTTGTGTTGAAAAATATGTGATTTGTACATTTTTGTAGATTATACACTAATCAACTCTGTAGCTGGCCAAACATTAAATCTTCCTTAAAGTTCACAGCACACACTTTTTCTCCTGATAATTTTGGTACTAAATGGCCCACAATTCATATGTTTAGACCCATGCCAAGAAAACTTGTGCTGATAGACAATGAAAGTAAAAGCCTACAAGTTACCTTTTCTGGAAATAAATTGAGAAACAATGATCTTGTAATTTGTTAACTGCTGTTTTGCAAAGCCATAATGCACAACTAAAAGCACCTGTTAGGCACTTAAGAACCAAACATAATATCTTCCACTACAAACACAATCTTTGTTTGCTTCTTTGGCTCATTTCGTGTGGAAAGACTCAATCTGATATACAAGATGCAGTTCTTCACAGCTTGTTTCTAGACATAAAGATTGGGAGCCATTTGCACGTATTGTTTGAAAGGTGAAAGGTGAAAGCTTACAGGACTTTTATGCATGGTGGTTCTCTCTCTATGTGAATTGCCCTAAATCCTAACTTTTCCTAGCTAATATCCCCTCCAGAATGCAAGTCTTTACAATCTTGCAATTACCTCATTATCAAGAAGTCCAAAAAAGTTTGGGTTTGAAGAAGAGTGTTACCCAAGGAAAGTTACATTTACAGATTCATTCTTTGAATGTCAGACACAAATGAATCTGGCACAAAAGGAGCAAAACAAGAAAAAAAATTGGAAAAATGGAAATCTATTTCAAATCAAAAAATAGTTACAAATCTTGTATGCAAAAAAAACAATACTTGTAATTCTCATGAAAATGCTTCATTGACCACTGATTTACTACTTCCAATACCAAAACATGAACAAGACAGTCCTCTAGCTATGTGGAAGTCAGTTTATCCAACCAATTTACATACCAGCTCTGAGGGCCTCTTCACATGAGGAAAACAGATGGGGCTTGTGTATACATGTTGGTACTGTATATGAGATAATCTTCACTTTGCCAAATTCAGATGTTCATTTGAGGAAAATGACTAGTTTTTGACCAAGGTCTCAGGTGCTGGGCTGGAAAATTTTTATATGCACATTCCGGCCTGGTTACTGGGATAAACTTGCAAGGTTGCCCCTTGTTGACATTGGTAACCAAATGGAAACTTCCCACCAGGCTAGAATCTAGGCTAAGCAGCCAGAGGGAGCTTTCCCATATGGATTGACTGCCTAAATTTGTTCCGCATACCAGGACAGACTGGTTTCTAGTCTGGCCTGGTATGGCCCAACAGGATGCAAGTGGCCTAACAGGATGTATTCTTCATTACATTTATCAGTACTTTCTTTCAATTTGTACCATGTAGACTATCCCTATTACACATTCATTTGTTATTGCCTTAATTGCAACACAAAAAAGAAACATTTGCAAAACTCAAAGCTATACTTTCTAGGGGGGGGGGGGGGTATCATCACTTCAACTTTGGGATGCAAGAATTTCATGACTCAGATGTTGGAGTTATGTTTAAGTTTCATTTGTTCTTCAATGTCAGATCCAAATAATTTTTACTGATCTCAATACCGTCTGTACTCACTTCTAAGGAAACAAAACCCTGATGATCCTTATAACTCATAAGAAACTAAGAAAAATTCTAACAGCTAAACTAAAATTAAAAAAACAAAGAAATATATGGTCCAAAAAAACCAAACCAAAAGAACATCTGGCAAACATAAATTACACACTAACAGGTAAGGCCTTGGTACATGCTCACGTAGCCCCTGGTGTGCACTGAAATAACCCAAGCTAACCAACAAATACTGATGAATGTACATTAAATAATGACCTTGACAAATTCAATTCACTTTATAGAAAATATAAGACTCTGTATGAAAATGTCGACCTCCTGGCTCTCAATAAAATTCATGAATAAATACAGCATTCATGCTGAGTGCTGTTGGTTGGAGTATACATACAGCTGTACTTCTCTGGGAAACTTAAAGGTTGGATGACGACCCGATAAATAAATCTTTTCTAATTGCACCTCTGTGATCCCTATCTGGCATACACATGCCTAAAATGATCAACAGAAAAAAATTTGAGTTGGTCACAGCTTAGGAGAGAAACCTCAAGTAACATCAACTTCCAAAGCCAGGTAACTCCCTAACATCATTTAATCTTCTTTAATTGGGTGTCCAAGTAGAGTTCTTCCAACTCAACATATCCCAGAGATGTACAATAAACCTCGAAAATATAACCTCTTAATAACTAATTTTCTTTCCAAGTAAATACAAGACAGATTTCACAACAGTGAATTGATGACCTAATAAAAATAATTATAATGACAACTTCCAAATCCAATGCTGGAGACAAGGTGACAAGCAATCAAATCAGGGGCTTCTTTCTTGTACACTTGTTCTAAAATCCTCAGTGAAAATAGTTAAATTCAAATACACACATTCGTATGCCTTCATTGTGCATTCAACACTTCTTTACTCTGAACTCCCTGCATACCTGGATATCGTGCATCTCTGCTGGCTCCGAGATGTAATTCATACCCACTGGGGTACCCTGTGGCTGCAGTGGGAAACGTTGCAGGGGAGTACCCTGGGTAGCCAGGTATACCACCATAGGAAGTAGGGTAGACAGTGTCATAGGCTGCACCTGTGCCAAGTGCTCCATAAAGGGCAGCTGCAGCATATGTAGGGTTATAAGCAGCAGCAGCGGCTGTGAGACTAAGCCCAGCAGTTCCAGCCGCCGTACCAGCACGGAATGGACCTTGAACACCAGAATTTAAAACCACAATGTGAGATGAAATGTATTGCCGTAGATTTGATAGAATAACCTTCCAGAGAGTAAGATTAAAAAGGTTCAAAGCTTTTTTTAACCCTTAACCCTTTGACCTCTAAGAGTGATTCACATCTTATTTTTCCTTATAATATCACCCCCCTGAATATCAAGGTTATGAGAATAAAGGAAATGATCACCAACTTTAGAGGCTATTGATTGTTAAACAATTCTCCTTGTCAGCTCCTAAGGACTTGTATAGAGAACAGTATGGAGAATATGCCTACTGTCGTAAGGGTGTAAAGGGATAAACCTCAGGGTTACTAGCACCTAATCTTTCACTATGGTATCACTGATGAATCAAACACTAAGCTAATGAGAATAAAGAAGATGGTCTCAAAAAAAGGCTTGATTTTTCTCTAGATTCTCTCAGTCAGTTCCATAAGAAGTGCATAAAGAACAGTATGGAGAAAAAGAGAAGCCAGCTGGTCACGAACATATAACATGTTTTTTCTATGGCCCAAAAGATGTTGCAAGGTCATGAAAAGAAAATGACTCCTCCATTATATCGATCCTTTGATTGCTGTGTGCTGTTGGTTGGAGTATACATACAGTGCACTGTAAAAAGCCTTACCTCTGCTTATACCTGCAGCTGGTCTTCCTCTTCCAGGCACAACTCCAAAAGCTGTGGCTGCAATGGAACAGTAAAATTCACATAATATAAACACAAATTTCAAAATTTCTGCAAGGAACTGAGTGGAATTTGAGTGGACATTACTTTATTAACAACACTCTATCCTAAGCTCAGTCTTGTCCCACTAAACAATGTATAAAAAAGAATAGAGCCAAATTATTGACCATCAAATGCAAGAACAAATAATTCAAGGTGAAAACATTCTGGGCTCACCAATTGCTGGGATCATTCCTCTCCCTGCCACTGCAGCACGAAGTGCAGCTTGCTGCTGTTGAACTTCTTTCGGAAGAGCTCTTTTTACTTCAACCTTAATCACAAAATAACAAATGGATAAATTCAATCTCCACTCTGAGGAAGGGCTAATGCTTGAAACATCAGCTTGAGAGACTCTTTACAGAGAACAATTTACATTATCAACGCTTCTTACCCTGTGCAAGCTCACCTTATTACCATCAATATGATGGAACTGTAATTCACAAATCTTGTCTACTGTGTCTTCTGAATCAAAGGAAACAAAACAGAAACCTAAAAGAAAAGATTAAAGAAAATTACTGCATTAGACAAACGAGAATGTAATGAAAAATGCTGTGGTCTAAGCTATTGCTTATTGGAATACCATGGCAAATACAAATTTGTTTAATTTTTTGTCCCTTTTTCTTTTGAAAACTTTTTTGGTCTCTTTCTGAGTTATCCAAATTTTAAGCAAGCCTGTGCTGTTGGTACTACAGCCTGTCATGTAATTCAATTACCTTGAACATAGGGTATTTAATATCTAGTCTTTCCTGCAACCAGAACTTTATCTCTAACACAATTTTTATAACTTGTGACTTTTACGTTTTTAGCTTGGAGCAGGAGCAGTTGGGTAAATATACACTTAACCCTTTACATCCTAACATCAGAAGGCATATTCTCCATAATGTTCTCCACAATTTCCTGACATGTTGACAGGGAGAATTTGTTTGACAACCAAGAGCTTCTTTAGTTGGTGATACTTTCCTACTCTTGTGACCTTAATTTTTGATTCAGGGGGTGATACTGTATGTAGAAATTAGACATTAGTCACTCTTAGGGGTTAGTGGGTTGACCATTTAGCTCCCAGAAGTGATTGACATGTAACTTCTTCCCGAAATATTTGTACATTTTTCAGCAAAAAGGTTATGAGAATACTCAAACTTATCAGGTAGAATCAGTTGCCTTGATCTTACAACAAATTCTCAAAACTAATTTACATGGAAATGTGTAACAGCTGGAGGGGAGAATTGACAATCAGATCTTGGGAGTTAAAGGGTTAAGTCAATGCTCTTGAACTATCTAACTGCATACCTCGTCTCTTCTGGGTTAAGTGTTCTGTGACATATTCTATGTCTCTAACCTAAAATCAAGAAACAATCAATCAACTTAAAGTGTAAAGTTCAAGATTGTTGCAAGTGAAAGTTTCCCAAACATTCAAGATGTTTTAACTGGAACTGCCCTTCATTGTAACCTGCCTTCAGAATTGATGCAGGACACTTTTTAAGACTACATCAGCATTGCTCCCATTAATTTTGTCTCTGTCTCACACCATCATCTCCTCATGCAGTGCAAAATAGCCAAGGCACCCCTCCCCCCTTTCAACCCTGCCACACCCTTTCATTATCTCAGTAAGCTAGCCAAATAATCTGCAACATTCTTGTTACATGAAGATGCAGGTTCACTCTGTGAAATGTTGTCAAAATCTCTAAAGAAGCTAGTAATATTCAGTGTTCTCCTTTTCAGGTGGTAACCAACTAAATTTACCAACTGCAGTACCTCTTATTACTGCCTAAAATGGCTTGAAATTCTTGAAAAATCAGCGGGTGAAAGGATTGCTCTACCAGTCCAAAAATTTATTCTGCCTGTCTGGCTTAAAATAAGTGAGAATGCTGACCATTACAGTTACTGACACTAAAGTTATCTTGGGCTTGTCAATTGTGCAAGTGGGCAGGAGAAGTTGTCATATTTCTCAAAAGAGAAGTCTGCTTGTGCCAGATGGACCAATTGATCAATCTCCTCGCCCTACATCCTTACCGATGCATAAGTCGATCCAAAATAGTCTCTAATCTGTTGATCAGTGGTCTCTGGTTTTAGTCCTCCCACAAATATTTTCTTTACTCTCAAATGAGGTGGCTGAAAATTGAAGATCACTATGTTAGGGAAGGCTTCAATTGCAATTACTATAATTATAATAATAGGATCACACACAAATTCACCCCATATCATAAGATTACCATGGAGGGGGACAACATCAGGGAGAAGAAATAGTGTTCCTAGCTGAAGTGGATACTTAAGAATTTTTGTCCCTTCCCAGTTAAACACATTTCTCTGCGGTGGCATGTAATGTAGTGGGGTGTTATGCATTGATCTATTTGAATGATAAAACTTCTACTCTGCTCACAAGATTCCCCATCCCACTATCCATAGTCTCTAAACTCTTCTCTATACATTTCCTTTAGTACTGACAAGGAGAGTTTGTTTATTAATCAAAGCTGCTTAGACTGGTGATCATTTCCTTTATTCTCATGATCTTAGTGAGTGACTACTGTGAGGAGAAATTAGATTCTGGTCACTCTTAGAGTTTAAAAGGGTAAGTGGTGATTAAGAGCAAGTGCAAATATAGCAACTTTGCTTATAAAACTGTTGGTGGGAGAGAGAACCCATCAAGAAAGTTGATGAACATTCATTCAAGTGGTTACAGCCTGAGCAAATCTGTTGTGTTTCGTATAAAATTTGTAGTTAGTTTAACAACTCTATAAGACATCTAGTAGTGCATCATTTGGTAAAGTTTTTCTCCTGGTGGAGGTTTACACTCCCTGTTTCTAATATCTTTACACACTAACCTTATTTATAGGTGCTGCTGGCTTGGGATCAACCTGGTGGGGAAGTAACAAAAATATTCAATGGAAGTCATCAATCAAAAACCAGATTTCTTCACTAAATCATATCCACCCTACATGTATGTGGACACCAAATGCCTCTAAGTTGAAAATAATACAGATTTATTGTTGCAGAATGTGACATTGCAAACTCAATCTAATCTGTGATTCTTGCTACATTGTTCAGCATTTTTACTGTCCCTCCACCCCACAACCCTCCCAAAAGAGAAGCAGTGGGAGAGTTTGTTTATTAATATCTTGGCATTTTGATAAACACCTCCTTGATGTACAATTGAAAATGACAATGAGTAACCACAGCTTTGTTCAAAGCTTTTAGGTAGACTTACTGTTTTCCCATCTAATAAATGTGGACCTCCATGCTGCAAGACCTGAAATTCCAACAAGCAAGGGTTAACTTCCATCAGTTTGACAAGACTGTGGCAGTTGAGAAGAATATTACTCTTCCACACTGCCATAGTGTCTATATTTAACACATCAATCTTCTACTCTGGACACAGCAATGTACAAGCAGAATATTGATTGCAAAAAACAAAGCAAGACAATATCATGCACAAGGAAATTGTAAATTTGTACACAGTCAATATCAGGTCATAGCAAGAGTGCATGTCTTTACTTAAATCCAAATCTGGATCTTCAAATCCAAAAAAAGACATTTCTTGACAAAAATCCACAAACAGATTATTAATACAAATGATCTTGTTGAAGGTGGATTCATTGCATCATGTCCAAATCCTGATACTTTGGATATGTGATACGTGATACATGATCCAAAGCATTTCAGAGCAGAGTGAACTTTGTCAGCAGTAACTTGGGAAAAACATTATCATACACAATGGACTAGACTTGTTAAGTTGTAAATTTATCGCTGCCATTTTACAGCATGAATCAATTAGACAAAAGCAAGAAAACTTTAACAGCAACCAACTTTTGTCTGGAAAGAAATCTGATAAAGTCCGCCTGTAAACATGGTATGCTGTTGCTCTGCACATGTCAAATTATCAACATCTGGACAGAGGCCTCCAGGGTTTCCAAGGATCCAAAGGGTGATCAACAGTTGCCTTCTTAGCCTGGCTGATGATCATCCGATTGGCAGGGTTCCATGGGTAGTCAAGAGGTTTTCAAGGACAGAGACAGTATATCCAGACATATGGAAATGACTACAGAAATCACGAGGAATGATTTTTGCTAATGCAATTTATTTCAAACTCTCTTTTCCCCTTTTTTCTTCTGCCAGGGATTCTTCATTAGGAGTTTTAATTGCAATTTCTCTGAGGTAATCTTCAAGATTGAAATCTAATAAAAACCACAATGTTAGCTTGGAGGTTGTTTTTGCTGACATTTTTTGTTGCTGGGACACTGCTAATATTGTTGGGTGGTTTTTCAGAGAGAGTCCATTTTTGGATATATACTTTTTTTTCCTATACAAAAATGATAATGACTGATCTTGGATTCTTGTAGAGAAATGCTATCAAAGACTTTAATCTCTTGAATAGGAAGAAAAATGCATCAAATGATAACATAACAAGAAATATGTCTGAGAATACTATCATAGCTGGAGCGTCTATTGTTTTCATGACTTAAGGAAAGGCGTCTTAATTCACCTCAGTCTTACCATACTCAATCTCAAACCAGATGAAAATTACATTTTTTGAGCTGCAACATATCATGGCTATTTGAATTCTAAATACCACTAAAGTAAAAGACTCAAGCAACTAGTAACCTCACTGAAAGTTAGTGGCAAGATTCCAACCTTGATCACGAGAGAGACATTAATCAAAATGTCAAAGAAGCTTGATATAGTAGCTAAAGGAAACCTTCTACACTGAGAACTGATCAACACCACCCCATCAAAACAATGGTACTTAACTTGATGGAACTGATCATGCAATTGCAAGCACAAAATCATAACAATTTGACAGATAATAAGATGATAATTTAGTATTTGACAATAGACTAAATGCAATTTTAAGTTCATCATTCACTTTCATTCCACAAAATTGTCTTGAAATCAAAATGATACAATCACTGAAATAAATTAAATCATGCATCAGAGCACATATACATTGAAATTTAGGTGGATTTCCAAGATCGACAAACACGAAAATTCGAGAAGGTGGTACATTAGAATAAACATCTTTGTTTTGTTCATTCAATTGTAATTCAACCTAAAAGTCTTACAGTGGTAACTTCGATTGCCCTAAGTTCTCAAGGCATCTAAAAATCACTACCAGCAAATGAAGTACCACACAATAGACACAAAAATATCTTTCATGAAAGAGCGAAAAATAACTCTCTTTATCTTAGACCTCAGCCAACACACAGAGATGTCAGCCTAATTACAGGTAACAAAAGAAGTTTAAGCTCAGTTTCCTAATGAACAAGGCATAAATTTGAGTTTTGATGCTATAATCCTCCTACAGAGTTCACATGCCACAGGAATATTTCAAGGCTAGTCATAGGAATCTGCTTCACTAGCTCAATCTCCTTCTTGCGTGAATAAACAATAACTTGTCCAAATTAGGGAGCTGTGGGGCGAGATTTAAAAACTAAGCAGCTAACTTGTATGAAGAGACCCTTCACTTACTAGAATAGAAAGTTAACCTTTCAATAACTAAATTCGGTCTCTAGTTAACGGCATACAAAAACACCACTTGAACTTCAATTTGTGTTCTTGCTTTCTACCACCAATAAAAACATGCAATTTACCCAACACAAATACATGGGCCATGGCTGTTGATTCTTACCAGTGGATTTCTTATTCTAATTACCCCTTCAAAAACTATACGATGGAACCAAAATAATACAAGTCTTAACAAAAAATCACACTCAGCATTAATGGTAAAGACAAACAGCTTTGTTATAAATCATACTAGATTAGAAATGTCTCATTCAGTATTGAGCACAATATTTTTCATGTCACCAACTTCCTTATCATGCAACCTTTGCCAGCACTTCCTGTTTATCACAAAAGTGGGCATCAAATTTTCGTCATTAAAATCAACTTTTAATCACTCCTAAGTCACAACAAGACATTTTAGATAGCCACAGGGTAAACAGACACTATTTTTATGGGCTCAACTTGTTAATTTGCCCTATGGTAATTTAGCTAAAACATCACCTGCTCCTTAATTGAGACAGTTTACCAAAGAAAAAGAAAGTTAAAAAAAAACATCACGAGATCTAAATAAGTGCACTTTGAACATGTGGAATACAAAACCTCATATTTATTAATATGGCAGTTCAGCTTGTTTTTCTCTCATGTCATGCAACCAATTATAGCACTTTGCCCCTCGAAAACGATGGCAAATGTTTTCCGCATTCATGAATGAACTTTATTGCATTTACTAGCATTCATCAGTTTACAGTTTGGATCAAGACTTTACATCTGAGGGAATAAACTTCTGCTAAATTCTGCTAAATCATTGTTAAACACATTCAAGATGCAATATAATGTCCGCAATAGAATTGTCTGATTGGTTAACGGGTTATAGATCTGCAACCATCTGTGACAGAGCTTGTTACCCAATATATAGTGTGATATCTTGTCAAGAAATGACTGGTCAGTCGGTACTTAAAAATACTGTTGTTATGTTCCATTCAGCAATAACTACTGAGGCTCTGGTAGTCAGATGTCTAAAGAATGAACCTGCTCACCGTTTTTCCGGATAGTTGGATAATAAACTTAAGCCATTAGAAACAGAGCCCTTGACGCAGGCATTGTTAGGGAAAATAATAGTGCAAAGGACTAAATTCTAAAGTACAGTACCTCATACTTTATGAGCTATTTATGGCCTAAGTTATGATAGAGTTTACACCGTACCGCGTTTGCTTGTTTCGGATCCTTAAATTGTACAAATGCGAACCCTCTGAAATGAGAGAAAACAAACAATAAGAGTTCGAATTCACTGACAAGTGTCAATTACATGAAAGCGCGAGCAAAGAACACCATTAAAAGATTAAGAATGAACTTTTACAGTTCAACGACCATTTATAATATGTTTCCCGTTCACAAACATATTGTAAATTTAGCTGAGTTTCGCCTAACATCAGCAGGCGCAAGCCATAGAATATAGATTTAGAAATTCTGTCAGTCAAAACAACAATTGCTGGCGCCTTTCTCGAGTCCTCTTGAATCATCCATTAATTTCCTTATGCGCTTATGGCGTGCTTCTACAAAGTCGTGCGAATGTTTATGCTGCAAAATGACCGCGAAAAATATTTCGCTACAGGGGGTTGTTTATATCGAACATTAGACACCGGTGGTCTTTTATAGGACTGTTCTTTTTACTTGAATTGTTTAAAACCAAAAGAGAAAACCCGTCGATCAGTCGCCTATTTCCTTACTGTATTTGGTCGATTGCTTTTATTTCACAAATTCGTGAAAATTTAAGCAGCCATTCTCCGAGGCGTTATGAAATTTCAAGAGCCAGACAAAAGAAAAACGTGTATTGTCACACGAAGCCGCGAAAAGTAAAGCTGATTCCTACATACATTATATATGTAAACTGAGAGATGTCGAGCACGTGGGCTCGACTACAAAAGAATACATTGTCGGTTTAAAATTATAACAAACTTGCCTAGTACATGAGCTCAGCTGAAGTTTCGATTGACAATAGTAAAAATACAAAGTAAAGGTAAAACTAACCTTGAGCGACCCGTCAATGCATCCATTTTTATTTCAACACCGACAACTTCACCAAAAGTATTAAAATAATCCGTCAAAGTTTCTGAAATTGGAAGAAGAGTTTTAACGGCAGGTCGTAAACAACCTCCTCGACACCTGGTTTCCCCAGACATAAGAAATATACAACTTTCTCTGATGTGTATTTTCACATTTGGTAGAAAAAAAAATTAAAAAATTGAAAGTAAAAATTTCAAGGTACCTTTAGTGGTTTCATAGCTGAGTCCGCCCACGAAGAGTTTGCTGTGAACGGAAGACAAAGAGAAGGGGAAGTTGACAAGAAAGCTAGAAAGTGGTACGGCGCCACGCATTCGAAACAACTTCACATAAAGAGTTGCATGAAGCGTAACAACACACGTACACAGTCACAATGATTTAAACACACACTACAACCCAGCAGGCTAGCACGAGATTTAAGACCTGTGAAATTCTTAACCCCTTATGAGACGCCGATAATAAATTACAAATTATTTTCACGTAAATTTTCGCGAATTTTGCGCGTAATATTGATAAACTTCATGAGTATACCCTTCGTCGTCCTCTTTCGTCATTCTCTTTTTCGCCTCGGCCGCCTGGCTTGCGATACCATTCACAATTTTGCTGGTGGCCATCGCGCAAAGTCCCTGGAGCTTTGCAAAGCTGATTTTTAACTTATAACCATCGCTTTAACTATAAAGTGCTCGCCATGCCACGAACAACTCTCTTCAAAACTGAAAGCTTCAGGCGCCAAATGCTCGAAATTCCGGTTCAATGAGGGGCATGCTGGGAAAACCCGCAAGTGGTCACGTGTAATCTGATGACCGCCATCGGATTGGTGGAAACAACGGGAACAACAGCGCGGAGTAACCTGGAGAGAAAAATATCGGCTTGCGATTGGCTGATTTGCGTCAGACACTTGTTGACTCTCAAGTCGACACTTGGAGCGATATATATGCTCACTTTAATCCATGTTGATGTTTTCACCTTTGTCTAATTTTGGCAGGTTGACATCATCGGGTGCAAAGCACGCGATCGTATATATATCACGCTTTATTGGATTTCAGCAGAAAATGCAAAGCACATGAAAAGCGCTAGAAAAAAACAACTTTCGAACTCTTTAGTTCGTAGCAAAACATGTCCAGAGGTTTAGAATTTTCAAAGGACAGCATAATGTTGATGAAGCCAGAACAATTAATCATAAGGTTTCAGCTATAAATGTTGCGCCTTCTCGGGTTTATGCGCTCAGAAATTAGAAGAATTGTAACAATTCATTAAGCCTGGCTGGGCTTGGCCTTCGTGATATGACGCACATGTACTCTTGTTTCAGACGGAAGCATCCCATGCAATTGTTCGCACTCGAAACAAAAATTGCTCTTCGAAAAGACAACTTGTACAATACCTACTATTGGACTCTGAGGTTGTTTCAGAAAAAAAAGGTTTATTTATCCAAAATTTTTATAAACTAGAAACTAACGTACTATTATTGGGAGGACTGCAGTCAATAATCTCTCATGAAAGTCGAAATTTTCATCGGCGAAATTCATGCAACGTTGCCACGGCGGGTCGTAACTTCAGAGATCACACGGACAGTACCGCTGTTGTTTTGTTTGCGGGGTAACTCGTTTAGCGTGCAGAAATGCTAAAACAAAATGAAACGAGGAGAAATATCAGAAATTTCAGCGCGCCTGTTTGTTGACAATTTTCAGCAAGCCTCTTATTCTTCGCTGGCTTAGACTCAACTCACGTCAGTGTCACCTATGGTTTCTAATGAGTTTTAATAATCACTCCAAGTTGTGTGTTTCCTCTGCCCATAAACTGACCCCGGCTGTTACACAGGGATAACAAAACGACACTTACAGCTTGCATGTCATTCAAACGCACGAGTTGCGCTGGTGATCGAGCGAGTCAAATTCCATTTTTAATACTCAGCTGACTGACTAAAGACTGGGAATGAAAGCTTCGACTCTTGTTTGAACATTGTCCCTGTAAACGAAGATCTGCACGTGGAAATAATATATGGCGAGTCAAAATCGGGCGATCGCTTTCACCACAAATTTCGTTTCCTCGGCCCTCTAGGCAAAATGACTACCACAACAAAGCGAAATATCTTATTGTTTTCTACCTCGTTTGACAGTTTCAGAGTTTCGGTTTCTTTCAAGCTGTGTTGTAACAAATATATTTCTAATCCAAAGGCGTTATTTTTAAAGATCATTAAAACGGTGTTAGTTGCCAAGCCACTGTTCCCGTATTTGGTGTGACCAAGGAAGTCTGATAAACCATTTATTACAAAGGTTTAGAGTTCCTGAAACCAATACAGCGCAATGCACTACCGTTTTGAAAGTACGCTGTTTTTTTATTATTTAACTTCCTCGATCGTGGTTTTTCTTTCAGTTTTTATAATTACAAAGATGGTATGAAAGCATTTTACTGAAGGTCCTTCGCCTTTATGGTTTTGTTTGACGCACGCTTATGATAAAAACCCGATCCTTGCTTATTCAAAGGTCTACAGTAATTGAGTTTTCTATCATTGTCAAATGGCGGAAAGAGCTCACTCTGAGGCTTTCGATGAATCGCCTCGTCTCGGGTCTTTTTTAATGGGAATGAAAGTCCATTTGCCTACAGATCGACATGAGACATTTCCCAACATCAGGTGTAGTCTAAACATTGGATCGCAAAAAAAAAAAACGTTTCAAAATAGTTTTTTAGGAACAGCCATTTTCGGCAACAAAGACTGAAATAGACTTATTTAATATACAGCCTTTAGCTGACCAGCAGTCATAAACTAACAATGTCCCGCTTTCAGCCTTCCGGCGGCAGGGAATTTCAAGAGAAGACGTATGACGCCCACAGGGCACTTCCGCAAAATGAGACTTCTGTTTATCTGGCGTTTCCTCTTTTACCCAAATTTTTTCATTTTAGTACTTTGGCCTGACTGCACGAGGGAGTCACAAAAAAGGATGGATAATAATTCTTTCTAAAACTGAAGGGAAGTTGGGTGTTTTTTTTTCTGACGCTTTCAGTTAAAATTGATCGACTCGCTGTCTGGCATTCATGACAGTTTAAACAATGCTTCAGCTGGTTTTTAGGACTTTTTTAGAGACTAGACAGTGCCGATTATTTCAAACAGTAAAAAGCGTTGGCTATCCAGGGAGAATGAAACGTGAATTTGCCAGCTGCTTGTCAACTGCTTCAATTTTCTTCAAGTATTTTAGACTACAGTAGAAAGAACAGAGTAAAGCGAAAGTAAAATACTAGACTTAAGTCATTTGCTGGGCTAAGGATGGCTAAATTTTGTGTAAACAGCAAGTAATTAAAGAGAAATGTATGCTTATTATCTTGAGAGTAAGCGGTTTCTAATGCAAGGACACATCTTTTTGCGTTCAGTGTGACCACACTTTCAAGTGAAGCACTGTACCATTGGCAAATATCGCAGGTTGTTTTAGCTGGTGGATCGATGGCTACCCGCTCTATGCACCGTTCCTAATTAAGTGGAACAAGCTTGCTCATTTTAATTTTTTAGATAATGTTTCGGGGAATTGCGAAAACCAAGCTGAGGAAATAGATCGCTTTAGAAATAAGGTGCTTTAGTTACATTCGATCAAGGCTCTCTCTCGATCAAGGAAATGGGACTGAAAGATCGAATGCATATAGTTCAAAATTCAAATGAGTTTCGACAGAAATGAGATTGAAATATAAGAGGATCATTGTTCTGCCAGAAATTTTTAAAAAAGTAGGCTCTATTTTGGATCGCGGCATTGAAAACGACTAGACTTGTTTATTTGGCACATACTGGGTTGATCTCTCCGGGAAGTTACAGATCTATACTGTAACTTGAGTCCGTCACGCACATAAATTCACGCGGACTGTATAATGACTTTCACTGCGTTACATGTAAGATGTCATCTAACTTTATCCTTAAGAGCAGGGAGATTTTGGCGAGATTTCACTGATATCCTTCTTTCATTACATGGCTAGTGATTACAATGTGTGTCCTTAAAGTTAAACTAATCCACCACTGCCACTCAATGATTTCCTTTTTCTTTTTAAATAAAACTAAACGCAAACACCTTATTCCTTAAAAATCCATTTTAGCTAAGAGAGTAACAACTGTGACACGACGGGCCTTCACCACTAACTTCAATCATTTTCATGCATCAGAAACACGAGGAAACGAGGTGCGCTTGCACTGCACGGGGAACCAGCGCATGTCGGGCGTTCTTTAGTCGCGTGCAAAATGGCTTACCACACCCTAAATTGATCCAGTTTTCCCGTGGAAAAGGTTACCCTTCGAAGAAGACCCAAAAAGAACTGTAGCGTAGATAGTGCGCAGCACAAAATTCAAAACCTCAAATAAATGATTTGGAGAAACCTGAACGATGCTTCTCTGTCTAACAGAAGGCGCTGGAGGCTGAGTATTCAGCTGAGAAATCAACTGCAAACTATATTAGTTTCATAGCCGATCAAATCTTAAGAACACTTTTTTCTAAATACTTAAGACTGGTGGGGAGAGAATAAATGATAATACTCTTATATCGAAAGAAATAAGCGGTCAAATTTAATTCATATCAATGAATAAACAGCACATCAACATATTGTGGAAAAAATTTACATAGCAGGCAGACGAAATAAAACCCTTTTATCCTCCTACTTATCGCGTCCATCTGGGATAAAAACCAGCGAATCAGCTCATTTTTTGAAATAATGATAAATATGTTATTTTATAGTTCGAGTTGAAGTTAATATGTCGGTCACGTTCGTTTGGGTATAAATTCCATAGTTACTTTCACGATCATTGAAACATTTTAGGAGTTTCTGCTGGCACTGATAATAATCGAAAATTCATGAACTCGCTTAACATGTAAAAATAATTGAAGGCTGTTTTCTGAAGTAAGCTTGAAAACTGATGAAGAAAAAAAAAAAACAAGCTTCAGAAACTGAAAATCATTTGTTTTTCCAATTTTATCGCCCCTATCCACCCACATGGCGGTTTTCTTTTATTTTCTTATTTTAGGCATATCACGTTCAAGTTACCAGCTGCTGGTACGTATATACCAACTGGCGAAATAAGAGCGTCTTGTAATACAGGCTCGCAGCGTTGGGTTCTTCCTGAGGCACTTTCCCACGTACTCGACTTACATGACGTTTCAAGATCTCGCGGTAACACGCGATATTCATTTGGAATCCAGAGGGATCAGGCGATATTACAAGCGTCAGAATCAGTAACCCTACGGAAAACGACGTCAAAAAATGTCTGTGAATAAGAAGAGAAGCGTGGAGATAAAATTTCAAATTATGCTTTATCTAGTAATCGCATTATCTGGTGACAGCTTATTCTATGTCCTCTAAGCTTCTCGAAGAAGAAAAAAAAAGTTTTAATGATCTAACTTTCTCCTAACTCAGTCAATTAACCCATTAAATGGTTAAGAAAATTAGTATTTCTTGCGAGGGCGTATTTTTATGATTTTTTTAAGGATTCATTAACCACGCTTATTCAAGCAAGGCCAAAAAATAGTCATTCAGGTTGCCAAATAAGCGCCGGCGAGCAATGACTTGTAAATCTACGAGAAAAGCCACTGGTGGCCTCTAGTTTTTTTGCCAGTATCACTAACGTAGAGATGATTAATTTTGGGAGGATCAACGCTTGTTATTTCATCTGTCGTTAGAGAAACAAATATTTTGTATTTGTGGTAGTGGTTTTTTTCCCACGAAGATTCTATCGGTTTTTTTTTTTTACGCATTTTTTTCGGGCTTAAGATATACGTA